CGAAATATCTCCTGTCATCAAACAAACAGTCGTCGCACTCGCGACTAGGCCCTCACGTCACTGTTGACAGTCATAGCTTTGAAGTCGTAGATAATTTCGTCTATCTGGGAACCAGCGTAAACATTRCCAACAATGTCAGCCTGGAAATCCAACGCAGGATAACTCTTGCCAACAGGTGCTACTTCGGACTGAGTAGGCAAAATTGAGAAGCAAAGTCCTCTCTCGGCGAACAAAWACCAAACTCTATCAGTCACTCATAATTCCCGTCCTGCTACATGGTGCAGAGGCTTGGACGATGACAACAACTGATGAGTCGACGTTGCGAGTTTTGAGAAAAAAGTTCTGCGAAAGTTTTATGGTCCTTTGCGCGTTGGCCACGGCGAATATCGCATTTGATGGAACGATGAACTGTACGAGATATATGACGRCATTGAYATAGTTCAGCGATTTAAAAGACAGCTGGCTACGTCATATTGTCCGAATGGACGAAAACACTCCAGCTCTGAATGTATTCGACGGTGTAACCGCCGGGGGAAGCAGAGGAAGAGGAGGACCTCCACTCCGCTGGAAGGACCAGGTGGAGAAGGACCTGGCTACGCTTGGAATATCCAATTGGTGCCACGTAGCGAAAAGAAAAAACGACTGGCGCGCTGTTGTTAACTCGGTTATAATCGCGTAAGCGGTGTCGACGGCAATTGAGAAGAATTTATTCATCTTTGATTTGTATACCAGATAAATTAAGGTCGAAATGAAATTTGAAAATGTGTTTTATCGGAGGTAGGATTCGCTGCAGTCCGATTTCGCCCATATTCACACGGTAGATAAAATTGTCAGAGGGATATAATTTGGTTGAACTCGGTTGAGCGAGTCTCGAAATATGGTATTTCAACCATAATATAATTTGAACCCAGCCTCTTTTAAAGCTCTCCTTTACTATATCAGGGGTAAAATATAATGTCTCTGGGGGGTTTAGTTATTGATTTATCGCGCATTAGTGGTTGGTAACGGTACCGGTACATTCTTTTTCAAATTGTCGGTAGGAGTTATTACAATATTTGCGCCAGGCGAATTTTGTTATTGAAGCTTAAGGGGTTTAGGAGATGGCAGGTAGGTAGGAGTGCAGCCCTGTTGTCTTTTGGGCTCAATTAGCACTGGCTATGATATTTTAGTACACTTTGCATAGTCCTTTTATATCCGCCACTTTTCACCTTCTATTTCAAACCATTTTGAGGTTTCCAGTAGTGAGGTTTTAGTAGAAATCCATTCAACAGAGGAAGTTGAAAATTGTTGAAGGACATACCCATATTTGACCCATGTTCTCCAAATGGCCAGTGCCCTGTTATGGTAGCTGTTACTCTCTAGATACTTTCCCTAGATCTATTTAATAAATTATTAGTTCTTTTCTTGTCATATGTTGGCCATAATTGTTTAGTTATGATGCATTTTGTTATGTTTTACCATCTGTTATTTGCAACTTGTTGAAATATTGACTTCTCTTTTGATCACTCCTAGCGGGCTAGCCGAATTCGGTAATGTCTAGATCCACTGAAAATACCCCCGTTCCTACACCGCAGTCCATTGTGCCTCTTCACCGTTTTCGCCTAGAGAGAGTCTTCACCTGGAAGTGTCTATTGAAATCCAGCATTGGGAGAATGTAGTCTGATTTACTAACGTTGAGCGGGGAGAGGACCCCTCTTTGAGGCGTCCCTCTACTCACATAACTTATTTCTGTTTGATGCTTGAATCTTTATATTCTCAAGCATTGTATCCATCTGCTCACAGGGTCATCTATGTCACCATGAGAATTAATGATAGCACCTACTTCTATATTACTGAAGGCGCCCTAAACATAGAAACGTAGCCATGG